GAATTTTTCTTTCTTTTTTTTCAAAATAAGAAAAATTCACATTAGTATATATGAAGATAAATAACTAATATGCAAATAAATATTTTAACAAAATATTAAGAAATAAAAACAAAAATAAATTAAAAATTAAAAAATTGGTGTCTACACATTTAATTGCAAATTTGGCTTTTTGTTTTTATATTAATATAATTTCACTGAAGACACAAATTAGCAAGGCTATATATTGTCTTTTCACCTTAGAAATTAGCATAATACTGCATTTGATAGTTTAGGACCAAAGTATTAGTTAATTAAGGATATTAAGTAGAAAATGAAATTAACTCATCTAAATAAAAAGTGTTTCTTTGGGGACATACGCTAAAATTTTTTTAAAAAAAATCATGTGATCTGAAACACAAATTATCTCCTGTACTTACATATATCCTTGAACACTAAATCTTTTTTTTTTTTTTTGAAGAAATATTAGTTGCAGTTTCCTTTTTATTAATCATATTTTTACAGTCATTTTTATCCTATGATTTTGATTTATTAGACTATATAGTAAATAAATGGTGAGTGTGTGCGATTAATAAAAGTGAAGTGTGATTAACATTTTCATTTTTCTTAATGCAAGTCAATATGATTGACGCAGACCCAAAAGATGACAAAAACAGCAGCCAGTCAATGCTACGAAGCCTAGTGTTTCAAGGTTCTTCCTTCAACGGAACAACCAGGATATCATTTTATCAAAATAAAATTAGAAAAACAAAATGCCCTTTTTCTACGCTAACAACTATATGTATTCAAGCTGAAGACTGCAATCATTAGAAATATGGGTAAAGTAAGTATTAAATTCTCCTAGAGTAACAGTAATGTAAAAATACTTTTATGTAAGCGGGTCTTAATGAAAAATATATATATACCGAATGAAAAGTTTAAAATTTAAAAGATGTTATATATATATATATATGATTAATCTTTTATATACTGTTAATATATAAACTTTTATCATTGAATACATGATACATAAATTCGAATTTGAATTTAAAATTCAAATTTTACATATATATTGTATATCTAATTGTGATCATATATACACTGTTAATATATATATAAGATTTACTCATATATATGTATCTTTATACATTGGCTCGTATGGAAAAATCTTCACTGTGGTAGACTAGTTGCATTTTTCACGCACTAGGCGGGAGATTGTGCAGGTTTGGAGCGTACGATTAACGGGGACATGGTAGATATATTTCGCCATTACCTTGTTGTAGATTGGAAATTGGTTAATTAAACTAAATCACCACCTAATAATTAGTGGATGGTCTCACTTCGGCCCAAAATATATATATATATATATATATATATATATATATATATATATATTTGTCTCATTTTGTCCTCTCCTAGTATTGATCACATGTAGGGACAAGTGATAAATTCTCCATCCAAATTAGGACAAAGTGGATTGAAGGTCATGACTACATTTTCCAAATTTTTTTACTAAATCATTTATTAAACTATTTTTCATGTTAAATAATAGTCCATTAAACTCCAAAAAGTGCTTCACTTAGACTATTCTGTTAAATCTGTAGAATGAGTCCCTGAGATGAACACCTATTTTTTTTTTTCTGAAACGATAGGAATATATTGATCAAAACATAAGTATATACTTGTAGAGCAACGGCTCCAAGAAACTTTACAAAGGTGTTAGACACCTTGAGGATTGTTCCATTCCTCATCAACACAAATGCCTACAGCATAAGTACTCACAGATTTACTTATATTGTCATTTGCTATATCTAAACAAAATGAGCATTTTTGAAACAAAGAGCCTAAGTTGGCGATGTCATCTATCATAGTTGCCAGTCTAATGTCTTTAGTTTTCCTTGACATCAACGATGACAGAAGCTGCTCGTGGGGGATATGAACCTTCAGTTCTGGCCAATTCTTTCCTCTAGCCAATTCTCAGAACCTTCAGTTCTGAGATGAACACCTATCCTGAAGAAAAATTTTGAACATTTTGCGCAGAACTCCTCAGCCCTGAATTGATTACTTAGCCCATTTGTTAATAATAAAAAAAAAACCCCCAATCCATATATTCACCCAATTGTCACATAAATCCACAGAAATCCCTAATCGATTCACAGCTAAAGATCTTCAAAATGAAACAAACAAAGAACTTGGATAGAATTTCTCAACAGGATTGCTAAAGAATTCAACAATTGTAGATGAATACTTAATTCTCCAACCATGTAAATTGACTTTATCTATCCTCTAACCTCATCAAAGCCAAAAATAGCATACCTTCTCCTGAGACTCCAAGGTGTCTCGAAAGTTTTCAGTGTGCAAGTCAATCCACTTCGACAATTCAAACATCTACTAGCAGTCTTCTTGGCATCTTTCAATCTTCTAACTTTTTTTGTGGGAGCAAAAACTTGCTTCTAATCTTTGTTGGTGGGAGATGAGCTCTTGATTGATTTGGGGTTGATGGTTTTGTGCGAAATGCCAAAAATAATACCTTCTAAAATGGGCATGCCTTTCATGTGGCATGACTCCATATATCTAACAAATGGTTTGGACGAAACACTTTTAGAAGTTCAATAGACTGTTTGGTATGAAAAATAATTTAAGGGGAGGAATAAAAATTTCGAAAAGCTTTAGTTACTTCAGGTGCACTTTACCCTAAAATTTAACATGTGACAGTTTTTAGAATAAATTTTATATACACTGTCAGTTTATACACTATTACAGTTGGATGGATAACACATGAGCAAATTTTGAATTTTAAATTTCAATTTTGCACATGTGTCATATATCTAATGATGATTGTGTATACACTGATAGTATATATACGATTAATCCTAAAATTTAACATGTGACGGTTTTTGGGATGATTCAGCTATATTTGTATTTGTAATAATGAGTAATAAACTTTTGTGCTTGTATTTGTAATGATTCAGCTGTAAAAGTCCTCATTTTCTCAAGACAATAGTCCCTGCCCAATTCCTTTGAGGCTTCATAATTCATTCCCGCTGAGTGATACTTTGAATCATTCAACAAGCTAATCATCAAATCACTTGCAGCCTTGGACTAGTTCTAAGTTTTATTTGTGACCTAATCTGCTTTTGGTCTAATTCTTAAAACAGATTATTATTTTTTGGAAGTGGTACTTTTATAAAGAGAGTTTAGAGCATAATCAATTAAAATGCCACATAATGGTTACACTGAAATAGGATTAGACTAATTGTCAATTATGGGGTCCGGTCTTAGAAGAATCCTTGTTTTGGATTAAGGTTTTCGTCTAAAAATTTTGAGGATTTTTTCTAGAATACTCCCTTAATAGAATTTTCAACCACCATTTTATTTCACATACATTATATTTCAAAAACGTGTCATAGTATGATTTTTTTAAAAAAAAATTCCCAAAAAAGTGTAATCCAAACGACTTTCACTTTTGGTAGTAAAGTATGGTTAAAACCAGGACAAAGTTAGTGTGACACATAGACACAATAACAATATATGGAACTTTCAAGCTATTCTCATTGAAGTTCGAATCGATATATTATTCAACTACAGTGATAATCTCAAATGTACACTCCTAAGAATAGTCAACAAAAGTAGGTTCATTACTATTTCAACATGTTACCAGCTTTCCTTTTTAACTTTCTTCATGAATTGTTAAGACATGCAATAATGTGATATCCACATCAGGAATTTTAGCCTAGCCTCAAAAGAAAAAATCCCTTTTTTTCCCAAGATAGAGATAATTTATTACGTTAATTTCTACGCCGAAAAAAATTAAAATAAAAAGAAAAAACCGAAATGAGGGATCATTAAGCACTTCGTGAGTCAATTTTGACGATCTTAACCAATGTCTAGATATCGCTATTTTTGAACAATATGCATATTTATTCTGACCCAGGAAACAAGTTGATCTTTTATGTTGATTGATAGAGATGTGAGAGGCTGATAAGTGATACTAGTCGCGGACAAACTTCCTTTAATTTGCTGTCTTCTTTGATTACTGATCAAACGTTCATACACTGAAACGTGGAAATGTAGAATGTGGAAATCTGGTGTCATTTTCTAGCCAAAGTTAGTGTATCATCTAGCAAAGGGTCAAGTTAGTCCGGTATATGGAAATTTGACCGCAGTGAATCTTAATAGGCAGGGAACAGGGCAGGTACGTTTCCTTTACTAGCATACCGAGGGATGGCATGGTCCTGGAAAGCCAGAGTCTTCCTGGCACTGGTAGAATCATCGTTAGCTTAAATGCTCGCCTTCTATTTGTGGGGTGCATCATGCATGCCAAAGAGAGGAGAAAGGGCTCCAAGACCAAGCACTCATGACTCCAGGAGGCATTCGCGTTTGGCATATAAGATCTTTGGGTCGTCAAAGAATAGGGCCGTGGGAGCCCCTGTTAGGAAAAAGAGCCTTCGGCAGAGTTCTTTCCCTTCTCTTCCTTCCCTTCCCCTCGTCAACGTCAACGTCAAGGACCGCAAACGAGATGACGAGATGAATCGAGTCGAAGTTTTACCTAATCCAGTTAAATCTCAACTAAATTTTATCAAACTCGTACTCAACGAACTCTCAGTGTAAAGTTCAAATTCGAAATCGACTTCAAATTCGAGCCGAATTGAGCTCGAGTTCGAGATTAAAAATATAAAAATTAATTTATTATTTTAAAAAAAATGAATAAAATAGGAATTTTTCTTAGCAAATAATATATTATGAATATATATATGTAATTTCACTATTAAAAATAATATCTTTAGGCTCGAGTTCGAATTCGAGCTCGACTTGATCAACTCGATTTCGGTGTTAACTAAACTTGAGTCAAATTTTTACTCAAACTGCTGCTGGTGATTGGCTAGACTCGTATGCAACTCTACCCTTGCCGCTTCTTTAATTCCGCTTTGCTAGGAAAATTTGGGAAAAAAAAAATGATTTATGGCAAATTTTGTTTTGAATTCCAGTGCATTCCATGACGTAAATCTAGTACCAAGTGAATGTAGTAGCAAGGAAAAGGTAAAGGATAATATTAATGGCTTTTGTTGAGGCATGCTCTGTTCGGAGGATTTTTGCCATCCATGTCTAGAATCAGACTACAGTTCAGAAGAGCCATCTGGAGATGCAAAACCATATTTGGCTCTTGAAGTTTGTGAGTGTTCTTTAATGGTCATGCAGGACGGTTCATACATTCTTTTGTATACAGTTGTACCTGTCATTCCTTCATGGTCCCTTGTGGATTTCTTGCAGCAGATACTTGCGATATGAAGCGGATCAACTTATCAACTAATGGTACAGGTCAACATTGGTGCATTAGACATTGGACAGAATTTCCAAAACATAAAGATCAGGTCATATAGCATAATTTACTCCAAAGAATAAGCAATCAGCTGATCTAACCAATCACATCAATAAGAAGCTGCCTTGATCAGAGAAAAATCAGGTTGAAGCATGAAGATGTATTCTGCTTGCTGTTGACATGACATAACATGCTAAGGATCAATTAGTAGCCGAAATTGTTTCACTCTTGTGAGTACCAGTTCAAACAACTCCACAACTGACAACAGTGTCCAAAATTACTCCCGCTTCAAGTCGGAGAATCACAGGTATACAACTCTGCAAAATACAACCCAAAACTTTTGGTGAATCTCATTTTGCATTCCTTTCAAATCTTCTGAAAATATTAGTAAACTAACAAGCTAAGATAATCATTTAAGGAGACTTCAACAATATGAACATCTTGTCTGCTTTAAAAATTGTTAAAGCAAAAGCGTCTATGCATCATATGCACTTAATGAGCTAATCCACCAAGGGTACTATGGAAAATAGAGGTAGGGCACTAAGTATAAGAAATCTAACTCATAAAATTCAGAATCACATACCTTTCAATTGGGTATAGCTGTACAATGTCAATTAATAGATGATGGTTAACCCCATGCCATAGAGCAAGCATAATTCACCACCAGTTTACCATCAATACCGAAATTCTGCAAAATCACAATTCAAGCAACAAACTTAACATTAAAACAACAGCATATGTACATTCAAACAGAAGAAGAGGTTATTGAGCCCGTGTCTTCAGTTTGATAAAATGACCGCAAAATTGGTTTGAACACCACTGCACTCATAAACACCTTAGTCAACAATATCGTCGAGAAGAAGATTCTTGTGTTTTCATATGGCATCTCCTTGATATCCTCAAATGCTCATCCAAAACCCACATAAAGAACTTGCAGAAGCCTAAAACTAAAAGAGCCCAGAAAACACATATTTGGGGCACAAAATATTGATGGAAATGAATACAACTCACTCCAACAGGGTATGACTGATAGAAATTACCTCAACTCATAGAAGGTTTTTCCTTGCAAGCATTTCGGTTAAAATAAAACAGAGATAAATAGTTCCAAAGGGATCATATAACATTACAACAGAGTTGAAGCAACTTACGTTATACAGGTCAGTTATCAACTCCTCTGGATTAGGTGAAAAGGCACTGTTGACATATACAAACTAGGGAAACAAAACATGATAGTCACTCAACCTGACCCTGTCTTACCAAACGCACATGTCTAAAAACGGCTCAAAGAAAGAACCAATTACCAACGTGTCTCTGTGAAGCTGGCGGCGCAAAAAATCAATTACTTTGACAAATTTGTCTGACCCATCAATCTGCATATGAAAAGAACTACTTTAGGTTTTAGAAACAAAATATTCACTAAATGCAATTCCAATATACACCATTGAAGCCATATGGCAATGCTCATGAGTATTTCAAACTCCAAAAGTACCACAATAGCATAAGCAAATAGATATTTATTACATAACAGACACCCTTTTTTCTATATTGATCCTATGGAAACTACAAGAGAATGAAACAACCAAAATTCTACAACTTTGTCTTCCATAACCTTAGACTTAACAATCTGCCATAATCTAAACTTATAGACTTTCGCCACCATAAAGGCAAAAAATATTATTTTCCAAGGCATAAACTAAAATTATACAAATTCTACACAGTATGCCTTCATCAATCACCAACTTCACGGAAAAATTTACAGCAGCAATAATCAAAAGAAAACAGAGCAAACAAAGATTGGATAAAATTAAGATAGAGAGATCTTCGAATTTTTTTTTTTTTTAAAAGGGAGGCAAGAGGAGAGAAAACACTGCAAATTTCGTGAATAATATCTCAGCCAAAGATCTTGTACGCTGTTTAACAAACGGCACCGCTTTTAGCCCCAGAAAAATATCCAGTTTCGTCAACTACACTGAATTATCCAGATTGATCACCATTAAATAAATCTTACTCAAGAATTTAGCCTTCAAGTCAAAACACCATATAAAGTAGAATCAAAAGTATAAAATTTCAACGCCATAAACTGATCTGAAACTACGGTATAATTATAAGCCAAATCCGCAGTCCCTCCCAACAAAACAGAGATCAAGAAACAACGATTTTTTCAAAAATTCCAACTTTGACTAAATAATCTTCCCCGACGTAAGAAGCAATGAGTAAAGTACGCAATAACCATGAAATAAATACATGAAAGATCCAAAAAGGGTTTTCAAAACCCCAATTTAAATTAGATTTAAATACTAACACAGTTAAGTATGAGAAAACCTTGAATTTCGCCTGTTTGAGAATTGGGGCGTCCCCAGTAGCTCGAAGATGAACCACAACTGTATCATAATCATCAAAATTTTAACAACACTTGATCTATGTATTATTGTTTAGCAGAAATTAAGAACTTTAGAAAATTAAAATAATCGAAAACATCTATACCACTGACCTTTACGAGGTTCGGAAGCCATGATGGATTTCTTTTCTCTAACTCGTACGTGAAAGAAAGAGAGAAATAAAGACCAGGGGTAATTTCAGAAACTTCCCCTCAGGTTTCTGACTGTTTCATTTCTCTGCCCTGAGGTTCTAAAAGTATCACTAACTGCCCCTTAAACCAATTTTCTTATAACAATTTAGTCCAATTCAAAACAAGCAACAATAAAAAAATAATTTAAGATGTGAAAAGATTTATATATGCCAAAAGTGCCCTTCAACTATTATATTATTAGATTAAATATTTGATCTAACTTGTTAATTTACTTACGAGGCCATTACTATACATGGTTACTAAAAAATGTCCATTATCCATAACAAAAAAATTAACAACGTCCAAAATTTAACAAAACATTTTTTTCATACCTTAAGATTCTTAGTATCACCACAATTATAAGAAAAATTAACTCAACTGAAATCTCTTTATTTCTTTATTCCTTTTATTTATCAAGTGCATAAATTGGAAAAAGGATACCTAGTATTGGATCCCTTTTTAGATGCCAAATTAGATTTTTTTTTTTTAAATTTCAAATTATGGTTAATTTAGTTTGTAAACTATTTAATGGTTTCTCATGTCTAAATCCTTTAATTTATCAATTGCATTACGTCTGATTTCTTTTATGTATCAAGTATATGTAAAAATTAAAAAAGATGCACCTGATATTGACTCTATGTTTAGATGGCAAATTAATTAACTTTTTACAATCCAAATTATGGTTAATGTAGTTAGCAAGATTTTAACTTTTTTTCTTCACATATATGTGTAATTATTCTAAATGATAAGGGTAATAAAGTTATTTAGCCATTAGCGATATAAGCATTGTGTCCTAAATTACTGACAAGGGAGGTAAGTAAAATTTTTAAATCTCTGGAAAAGTAGTGAAATTGTTAGAAACCTCAAGGGACGTTTCTAAACTTATCCCCAAAGACTATTGCAAGTACTAAAAGAGTATAGGAGAAATGACCGATTTCGATCCCTTACTTTTCACACATCTTTTTGTCCTTGACTTTTAAAATGAAACAAATTCGTCATTAATATTTAAAAACTGAAGCTATTATATCCTTGAAGTCAACTTTCAATCTAAATCCAATCACCCAATAACTCAATTACAAATTTCAGGAGTATAATTAGTAAATCACTCGGTTAACTCAACTTGATATTCACATAAAATTTAATCAACCCAAAAAGGAAAAATAAAAAATTATAACATAAAAAAAGGATTAATTTTTTCCACATTGTTATTGTATACACTAACGGATCTAGATACCTTCACATCATTTCAATTTAAATTTAAAGGAAAAATCCATTTTTCATCCTCAAACTTTGTGACAAAGACACATTTGGTCCCCAAATATTTCGTCAGAACACATTAAGTACATGAATTAACGATTTTTTGCCACATTTAGTCAAAAAACGGGAATTTACTCAATTTGGACGGTGAAGACCACGTGGCCATTAACAAATGTCCAAATATCGGGAAAACCAACACAAGTCCACACTTGACTCTCTCTCTAACCCACTGCTTTTCTTCTCCAAGTTTCCCCCTTTCCCACCAAGTTAATGAAGTGAAAAGCTGTTTGAGATTAGCAAAGTTAATGGAGTGATTCAACAAAGCTTTTCCAATCCAATAGACTTAATGGAGTGATCCACCATATCAAGCAACAAAACTCCATCTTCAATTCGTACTTGTCAACAAAATGAAGTCACGAATCTCAGAATCGTCGATTTTGTCAAATAGCAGTACTCGTGTGTGGGGTGTGGATTAAGACCCAAATTGGCAACTTCTTAGCGGGATAATAATCCTAGAAGGAGATTCTATGGATGTCCAAGATGGCCGGTAAGCGTAGTGTAATTTTTTGTAAGTAAAGTGTAGAAATGCCCTTACTGTAATAATATGGTTGTATTTGCAGAGGCCAATATAGATGCAAATATTTTGAATGGCTTGATGAACCAATCTGTGCAAGAGGAAGGAGCATAATACCATATTTACTGAGAAGGATAAACAGGATGGAGGAAACAATTGAAAAAGGCCGAAGAAGGGAAAAAATTATGATTTATATTATCTTGATATTGGCTATGCTACTTATGATATATGTTGCTGGGAAAAATAGGGGACATGCAAGAGAAGGAAAATTGGTACTAAGCTTGGAATGAATTACCGAAGAGGGGGCTGATGACTGTGGTTCGTTCCCTTCATGGGGCAGAATTTTGACTGAATTTGTAAACGTAGAAATAGCATGCTTTTGGATCTTGTAAATGATGGTAATGCTATTTACAGTTGTAGTCTGATTTAGAATGTTTATATGTACTACTGCCTCTCCTTTTGGTTTTGAATGGCTGTTGTATTGTGTATTGTACAAAATTTAGTAATGAAATTGCTTTGTTTTAGCAAAAAGATAGTAAGACAATTTGGACGAAATAAGAATAACACATCAAAAAGATGACTAGCACTATGTGAAGTAAAATGTTTGTATGTAACAATGACAAGCTAATCTGAAATTTATGTGACCTATTAACAAGCCAATATACACAAATTGGCATCATTTCCATTAAGTAAGAATTCAAAATAATACCAAAATGGACAACTTGTTCAAGGAATATAAACTTTCTAAAAAAGGTGATCAGTATCATAATGAAAGCATCTTGTTCAAAAAGACAAGTCTTGTTCAAAAGCATCAGCAAAAGACTAAGACTAAGACTAAGACTATTACATAAAAAATATCAGCAAAAGCAAAAGACTGCCATCAAGTTTTTGGTTTATGGCAATTTCTTTTTTCCTTTCAGCCTAGACGAAGCAACAACACTTTGTTTGGTAGCAGCCATGTCCATATGTCCAGTCCTAATCCTGAGAGGCACCTTATCCTTGTCATTTCTTGGGTGTAATGGTTGGCTATACTTCACTTGAGACTTTTTTTAACCAAAAATTTCATATAAATTAGGTGAAGATGGGACAGGCTCTTTGACACCAACATCAACAACTATTTCTGTTGGTCTAGCTGCATCCCCTTTTTTCTGCTTTTTTCCTTTCCGCAAAAGCAACAACATAAACGTACAATAAGTTAAAGAAAATTTGAAATTAAGAAAAAGTGAGACCATACAATACTTACAGGCATTGGAGCTGCCTTATCAACTGAATTCTTATCAAAAATTTGAGGAGTACATGTAACTAGCTCTTCAGCTTCAACTTCAGCTTCAGCTTCAGTATCATTGCAGTTTACAGAGGTGTCTTCAACATTTGCAATGGTATTCTGAGGAACTTGGGAGGCTGCATGGACAGCTTCAGTTACATGCTGTTCATCCTTTCTAAGTTTGCAAGATCTCACATTGTGACCTCTTTACAGACAATATTTGCATCTTATCACCACACCAACTCTGCTCATTTTCTTTTTCTGTTTTTTCTTTGCTTGTTCTATCTCATCCGTACTCCGCCTCCTTTGTTTCTTTGGTCTTCCAGCTGGTTTACTGTACAGAGGTGGTTTTGGACCTTTGAGATCAATGTTCTCCCAATTTCTTTCCCCACTCATTAGACATACACAGCCTTCATAGCATTTCAAGTATTTCTCCATTGTATACCAACTGGATACATACAACATTGGATCTTTTTTTGCTATCCATAGTGCAGAAATAGCATGGGGACAAGGAATTCCTATCAGCTTCCATCTCTTACATGAACATGTATGATCTTTGATGTTTACTGCATAATGATCACCATATGGACAGGAAACCTCATACAAGTCATCATCGGATTTGAAAGGAAAACACTGAGTGGCCTTTTCCATCATTTTTTCTATTCTCTCAACAATCCTAAGACAGTACATGCAATCTTTCCACCTCTATTGAGCTAAGTCCATATTTTGCTGCATTCTTTGCATCATATACAATCTTAGCAATTCCAACATTTCAATGATTGGTTTCTCCCTTGCATCTAATATTTTGTTATTGAAATACTCACACATATTATTCAACAAGATATCACACTTTGGATAAATACTAAAGTAGGCTCTGCTCCATTGAGATGGAGGTTTATCATCAAACCACTTGGTTGCATGTATGTCAATTGCTGCCATTTCTTCCATTTTGCTGGCAAATTTTGTTGAAGTAGTTGCCTTTGCAGCAGCCCATAAGGCTTTTCTCAGAGTTTCTTCTTTGAATCCAGCAGATGAAAAGTTGCCATGCATGTGTTTCACACAAAACCTATGAACTGGATTTGAAAAAACATTGTCACACGCCTGAATCAGCCCCTTTTGCTTATCACTCATGATAGTCCACTTATAATCCCTTTTAATTTTCAAGTCTTCTTTGAGTAATTTGAAGAACCATGCCCAAGATTCCTTATTATCTCCCTCTGTTACAGCATATGCAATTGGATAAATGCTATTATTAGCATCTAATCCAACAGCTATCAACAGAACTCCCCCAACTGACCTTTTCAAGAATGAACCATCTATTCCAATCAAAGGCCTACATCCAACTAAGAAACCTTACTTCACTCCATTAAAACACATATACAACCTTTGGAACCTTTGTTATTGTGTTGCTGTACTTGCAGATTCATCCACAGTTTTCAATATAATGGAGTTTCCAGGGTTGGATTTCTGAATTTCATGCATGTATGCTCCTAGCTTACTATATTTGTCAATTTCACTCCCAAGAATAATCTTCATAGCCTTTCTCCTGGCCCTGTATGTTTATTTTTTGGAGAAAGAGCACTTATTATCCTTCTTTACAGTCTTTCTAAAGTGTTTCATATCTACCTTAGGATTAGTCCTAAACTCCTCAGTATACTTTTTGCCAACCCATCCAGAATTTACAAGGGGATTGTCATAGGTGAAACCACATTTGTGAGTGTTCTCAAATGTCTTGATTTGCACACTACCTTCCCCACTCAATTTTGCAGCATAAATAAGCCAGTCATACCCTTCACTTCTACACTTAGCCCTCAATCTTATTTTGTCCTGCTTCACAAATTTACATGTTCTGCCCTGTCTTACACTATAATTTGTGATAGCCAACTTGCACTCCTTTATACTACTGAACAGCATTTTTAACTCTAATTTTGGATTGTCAATATTTTTAGGGTTGAAGACTCTACATTCACTGCTGGTTTTTTCATCATCATGTTCATTCACAGTTTCAAAATCAGATTCAGAAGATGGGGCAACATCATTGTCCTCTGGCATCACCAAATTGTCATCCCTTTCAATTTCAGTTGGCTAATTTTTTTGAAAATTCTTATGGTGCTCTACACCTAACCATTCAGCATTTTTGTGTACATTGTCATGCAACTCATTATCATCACTATCAGTCATATTATAATCAGAGTCCACTGTTGAGAAGAATGATTCACTCCCTGAATCAGAATCATTATTATTGTTCCTATTAGCCTCATTGTCATTCCCTTCCCCTATACGGTTAGCATTAGGTGTATTCAAATTGTCATTACCATCAGCCCCTTCATTCTCACCAATCTGATACGGATCATAGCCTAACTGTTGAATAAAGATTTCATGGAATGAGACCTCAACATACAAAATAATTTTCCTATTTAAACCACCATTCCTCTTAATATATCCATGCAATTGTCTACTTGTTTCTACCCTTATAAAATTGCTAATTCCCAATCATAATACACTTTGTGTCCATACAAACCAGCACTTTCAGTCAATCTGTCTACTTCAAAGACACTTAAACCTATGCTTTCAACATAGTCAATGACACATGCATCTCCATCCTCATAATGTGGATGAGGAGTGTAGGATATTAACCCTCCATGGTGACACCTTAGAGTTATAAGTGTGCTGCCTTGCTCTGATAAAAAAAAAAAATGCACATATCAATAATTCAATCATTAACAGGGTATACATTAACATTAACAACAATGCACTCAATAATGCATAAATGCCATAATCACATATAAAGACCACATCTTATGGGCCCATCTTAATATCATAATCACAAATAAGGACCACATGCATTTGTCAGCTCCGACAATCAGATTAAAAATAATTAATCTTTTCAACCCAATATAACTCAAAGTAACCATAATATACCCACAATGCAAACCTCAGGGACCACATCTAAATATTATAAACACAAAAGTTAAAATTTTTTACATTTAACTCTTTATCTAAATACCCTAGAAATTTTACCGTAATTTGGGAATGCACGATCGTTGAGCTCTTTCTTCCGAACAGACATTTTCTCCACGTTTGGTGGTCTTCAATCACCGAACTGAAAAGCTCCACTCTGAGGTTGGGAAAGCTCCACTCTAAGGATGGAAATATTTCAACCAGTGGGAAAGTGGGAAAGGGGGAAACTTGGAGAAGAAAAGCAGCGGGATAGAGACAGATAGTGGACTTTAGTCAACATTTTGTGTCTGACTTGTGTTGGTTTTCCCGATATTTGGACATTTGTTAACGGCCATGTGGTTTTCACCGTCCAAAATGAGTAAATTCCTGTTTTTTGATTAAATATGGCAAAAAATCGTTAATTCATATATTCAATGTGTTCTGACGAAAAGTTTGGGGACCAAATGTGTCTTTGTCACAAAGTTTGAGGATGAAAAGTGAATTTTTCCCTAAATTTAAACACCAAACTTTGTATGTATATTATACATCTAAACTTGCAAGTGTATATACTAATAATGTATGAAAAGATTTACCCTAAAAAAGCCCTATCATTCCAAGACAAAGAACGCCCTTTAATGTTAGAATTTTTTAATATTTTTTTCTTTTTTAGTTCAATATGTTATGTGAATGTGATGGAGTTGACCGAGTGATCTCTCAATTTTATCCCTAAATTTATTATTAGATTATTTGATGGTTTGATTTAGATTGAAAATTGGGTGCATGGATATAATAGTTTCGATTTTTAAATATAAAAAATGAATTTGCTTCATTTTAAAGTTAAGCAATGAAAATAATATTTTTACAAAATATAAGCGATAAAACAAGTCATTTTTTTCCAAATGTATATATACACTGCGAATGTGTCTGCCTAAGAATCACCCAAACAAAAAAAAAAAAAGAAGGAAACGGATAACGGTTCTGGGAAATGAAAACTCAAAATCAAAACATCAAATAGCAGAAGTACAGTTAGAAGCAAAGCTATGAATCTTAGCACCACCGCCCCTACCTTTTTACGGCAACCTCACATAATCCGCCATCGCTACTCTTCTTCTTCTTCTTCTTACTTCGGCTTCAGTAAAAAGGAGAACTACAAACGGTGTCGCTTCATAGCCCTTGCTTCTTTTTCCTCTTCTTCATACTCGTTGCCGGAGCTGGAACTCCCGCTTCTTCCCTTTCCCAAGGACCAAGTAATTTACCTATCCATTTATTTTGCCTTTTTTTTTTCAAGTACTAATGCTGCTTCTTTTTCCTCAAATTACAGAGTGTTTTATGAGTTTCAATTTCTTTTTTGCTTGATTTAATTTTTCTGTGAAATTTTGGTTTTACTTGAGTGATTTTAATTTGCTACATGAGATTAGAAGGAAAGATCGAGCTGTCTTGATTTTTTTTTATTGAAGTAAGAGCTTTTAATAGGTTTGTTTTGGGTAATTATTGTACAGGTACTTGTTCCATCTGAGGCTAAGAAGCTTCATTTGCATGAAGCTAGATATCTAGCTCTACTGGAGGAGGTAATCACATTTCATCTCTCTAGTTTTTTTTCTTTTTTCTTTTCTTTTCTGGATTAAGGCTATGCCATCAGTGGTGTGTTGGATAAGGATTTTGTGAGGATTTATTTTCTACTTGCATCATGAGAAAGTCATGGAGCTTCTGTTTTTTTGCTTGCAGCGTTGATAATTGTAACTTTTAGAAATAGTTTTGGTTTGATAAATTGGGAAGTTTCAGTTTTGAGAGTATTGATGTCATCAGTAATTGAGGCTGCTTTCTTGCTCCCCTTTATGCGTTGAATCGTGCAATCTTCTTTCCAATATCTTCTGTCCTGCTCAATCGACCCGAGTTTTCATGGTCACTAAGGTTGCTGATGTAAGCAACATAATACCAGAATTTTGTTGACCAAATTCTTGCTAACTTGTATGCAGTCCTTGTTTCAGAACAAAAGCTTGTTTGTGCATTTTGTGTTGGATCCCATTGCTGTTAATGAGACACTGAGAGAAGCATCATTTGCAGCTCGGTATGGTTGCTTGGTCTCCATTGAGAAAGTAAGCCTCCATCTCTATTTGACATAGAAAAGTAAGTTCATTAATGTGCATTCTAACAAATTTTTTCCATTCCGTGCAGGTTGAGCAGCTGGATGTTGGTGCTTTAGTGTTCATAAGGGGCATAGGTCGTGTCAAGATTGTAAAATTTGCACAGGTAGTGATGATATGTGGAGCTTTTTACTGTTGATTGTGAGCTTGTATAGTTTCACTAGTTACTGATCCTTGTAATTTGTTTCATGTTTTAGTTGTCTGGTTGTCATATACTGAGTAAATCATTTCACCTTGCTTTGGTTTGTAAAACCTACAAGTCTAGCTTCATTTTGTCTCATATAAAACGGATTCAATTATGGCTTCTGGCTTTACAGAGCTCTATTGCATCCTTTGTTGCCCCTAAGTTTTAAGAATGGCTTTAAATTGAGTATATAAGAGAATGACATACTTTTCTTTTTCTGTTTTGTCCAACTTATTGTACCTTAGGACCCTGATTTAGAGCCCTCGTACTGGTTTCATCATCTTATTATTTGTCTAGAGCCTTGATCCATTTTTGCATGGCTGGCAGCACCAATACAATCTTATTTATCTAAATTGTCATAGCATATCAGAGTAAGATGCTTGATTTTTTTTTTCTTTTGCACTATTACTTTTTCTTCAATTAAAATGTTGGTCTTCCTGCATCCTGTCTTTTCCTGCCTTATTTCATGGTAACTGTGTTATTTTCTTCTTTCTCATTTTTGAGTTTCATGCTGTCTATATATACCTCTTTTTGGCTGGATTATCAAACTATTGTGAAACCATTGACAAGTAGATATTTGTTGTCATTGATATCCAGGCACATCTTACTTGAAATAAATTGCAGGAAGAACCTTTTTTGCACGGTGCTGTCGTACCAGTAAAGGATCGCATACTCCATGAAGCCACAGAGTTAAATCCAAAAGTACTTCAACTGAAAGAAGCTATTCAAAATTTGAATAGCTTGGAGATAAAATTGAAGGTGCTTTGATTCTGCTATCTATTTATTTGATTGTTTAATATGTAGTTGGCTTTTCCTTTGGATAGATGGTGCATATGGTCCTGCTGCATGGTCGTTTACTGCATTGACTTAAAAGTGAAAACAAGAAATGATAGAACTGAAAGTAAGTTCTCTGGATTGATATGCTTGGATTCATCTAAAATTCTATTTGTTCTGGTTTTGCTGATGCTTAGGAAAGATACAAGGGATAATATCAGAAACCTCCCTTGAGGTTTCTCTTAATATCACTTGGCACCCCTGAGGTTTTAGAAATATCACTTACCTCCCCTAGTAATTGTAAAACGACTATATTGACCCTCACTTGACACATAATTCACAACATATCAAATAAATGAAGTTCAAAAATTAAAAAAAAGAAAAGAAATGGAAGTCACATTCTTTTTTTTCCCTTTTCTCCATCATTCTCTCTTACTCATAGTTTTTGGATGACTATGCAATATTTTATTGTAAATTATAATAAATTAAATTTTGTTTATCTTTTACTTTTTGTGATTGTGATAAAGTGGGGTATGATTTATTTGCTCATTTTGGGTTGATTTTTATAATGATTGGTATAGTTTAATGGTTTGAGTAAAGGGTTGAGAAGATGTTGTCAAAAAATGTAAATTTATAGGAAATCGGTTTTGAGGATATAGAATTAATGCAAGTGTATTTCTTTTCAAATATCATTTTTATTTTTCAAATTTGTATTTTTATGGGGTATAGAATTGTGATGTAGTGGTACTACAAGAGATTGCTTTTGAGGTGATGGTTTTCTTGAAGTGAACAAAGTGGTTTAGGAACATTTTTATTTAGCAAGTGAAAGGGCAGTTTAGGGTTTTTAAAAATTTTGTTACACAAATAACAAAAGTAAGGGAGGTAAGTGATATTTTTAAAACTTTAGGGGTGCCAGGTGATATTAAGAGAAACCTCAGGGAGGTTTCTGATATTATCCCAAGATATAAATAACCTTTGGCTTGCGTACATCTTTGTCAAGGCAAGATGTAAATAATTTTCATGTGCTTTTATTTTTATCTACAAGGTTTCCTAGTTGTTTTTTAATATTTTTATTTTCTATTAACTTTGATTCATTACTAAGCAATAAATTATCTCCTACAAAGTCAGATATCTGTTATGCAGTTCAATTACTGGTATTGCAATGTTTAATGATATCGTACTGTTAATCTTTCATAAATTCACAGCCGGTCATGGATAAACACTAATTGACTACATATGGAAAGGAAGCTTTGGTTGCTTAAGCTCAGCTGATTCCAGCCCTTTTAACTCTAAAAGCTTTTTAGGGGCGTTTTCATTTGCTTGTGATGTGACTACTGCTTTGAGTGTTTGGAGATGAAAAAGCTGATTCTAGGAATCAGCCCTCAAAACGCATTGCAAAGCAACAGTTTCCAAATTTTTTAGCACAAAATTGTGCTTCCACTTCTTCAACAGGTTCTTAAAGAATCATGGTCATCTCAAGCAGATATGGAAAGGATGAAGCACAAGAATAGGTCATATGATGAATAGAAATATATATTGTACTTTGCTAAGCTGTACAATTCATACATGGCATGAAAGATCAATTAGATTGGCCGCATGAAGCTTATTTCATGTGATTTTAGCTTTATCCTCTTGTTGATTTGTTTTTGCACTACATTGCACATCTTGGCAGGTGGTTTACTTAACATAACGACTAGATATATTTGTTTTACTTAATTGACAGGTCCTGTGACTACAGCTTGTTTAGTTGAATATTTTCTCACAAAAATTAGTCCAAAAACTGATGCATATGTCCCCAAATATGAATCAAGAATTTGATAGGCAATTTCAAGTTTTATATTCAGTTGGAATTGGCTCCATAGCTCGTATGATGCCAAATATTTACAGTGCTGGCTTTTAAATAATTTTTGGGTCAAATGCAATTTACCATACTTTAAAAGAGGTTTACAAGGATGAGTTGTGAATTCTTCCACTAAGGCAGGCAAGGGCTTCATGGCGTGTGGAAAACATATGAACCCAGCCACAATT